TTTGCTGTTTCCAGGCTGTGATATATTTTCCTAGTAGTTTGGTTTTTTTTTTTTACCATCAATTTTTTACACAGCAATTTTATTTTTAGGAATATAAATGAAGAAAATAATAATGATGTGAAATGATTTAGCAATAAGGATAACTGAAGAATTTTTATAAGAGCTCAAAAATGGAGGAAAAAACTAAGTAGTAGCAGGTTAATGAATAAAAATATGCCTAGGCTGGTCCGATGGTAGTGGATTATCAGAACTTATTAACATTAATGTCACTAAAGTTGGTATTCAACCCCCCACTGCTAAATTTGACTGGCTTAAAAAAAAAAAATTATGCCTACATTATACAATGAGCTACTAACCAGCCACTAAAAATTATTGCGCAGATGCACATCTGTTGACATAGAAAGACATTCACAATATAACATTAAAGGAAAAAACAGTTTACCAGCAGCAGATATTTTAGTATCCCATGGTGGTATGTGTGTGTGGGTATGTGTTTGTATGTGCTTATGTATATGGAAAAAAGCCTGAAAATGTCTATATTAAATATTAAAATTGGTTATCTCTGGATGACAGGATTCTTGATGACATGTTTCTACACGAATTTATTTCTTCTGTCTTTCTGGAACTCCATTCGCATGTTAGCTACTTAAGTATCATCCCACAGGTTGGAAGCCCTGTTTTTCTGTCTTTCTCAGCCCTGGTTTGTTGTTTTGGGTTTTTTTGTTTGTTTGAGACAGGATCTTGCTCTGTCTCCAGGGCTAGAGTGTGGTGGAATCATCCTAGCTTCATGGACAGGCCGGATCTTCTTTTAATTGCCCCCCGTGGTTTTGAGGGCAAAATTTTCTTTTCTTTCATGATGAAAAGCCTTTGAAGGATCAAAGTGTTTGATACCTATTACTTTATTCAATTCCTCCTTAAGTTTTGTCTCACTTTGTCCCTTTTTAGCAAGCTGAGAGCAGAGTTTTGACACCTCCTGAAAAGGTTCTGTTTTATTACACAGTTCTTCATACAGGAGACACCACTTATTTCTTCAGTTAATTCTGCTATTGTATTTTCTCTTCCAGATTTTCTTGCTGCTTCATCTTCCAGTTGTTTCCTAAAGTCCTCCTCTTGTTGCTTAAATTTGTTCTGCAAATCAGTTATTTTTTTAAGAGAAGAAACTGTGATTTCTTTAATTTCTTCTTTAAGTGCCCACTTGGTCTGCAGATCTCGAAGCATCCGTGCATATTCTTAATTTGTGCTCCCACTTGCCAGTATCTGATGTTGAACATCCTCTGCACTTTTCTCAGCCTCAGCCACTTTTTCCAGGAGTGATGAGTTCTCCAGCTTAAGATCTTCTATCTGACTAGCTGTTAATGCTTTATAGCTTTCAGACTGAGCAGTAACATCCCCAAGGTTTTGCACCGTACTATTAACACTTCCTACAAAAGCAGGGTGGCCTGAGTGTTAGCAGCATTACTTTTCTCCAGTTCACCTTCTTTCCCTTTCAGCTTTTCTTCTAGGAGTTTGAGTTCTTCAATTGTAAATTTTGTTTCTTCTTCCAATTGCTTGACCCACCTTTCAGCTTTTTTCTTCTTTTGGTGTAATTTATCGAGCTCATCCAGTGTTTGCTTTAATTCTTCCTCAAAGAGATTCCTCTCTTTAATCATTTCCTCTTGAAAAGAACATACCTTCTACTGAAGACTAGAAGATAATTCTCCTGTTGCAGAAGTGAATCAATTTGTAACTCTTTTTGCTGAAGTTTTGCATGTTCTTGTTTTTCAAGAATAAACCTCTAGGCTGGGCGCGGTGGCTCACGCCTGTAATCCTAGCACTCTGGGAGGCCGAGGCGGGCGGATCGTTTGAGCTCAGGAGTTTGAGACCAGCCTGAGCAAGAGCCAGACCCCGTCTCTACTAAAAATAGAAAGAAATTGGCCAAACAACTAAAAATAGAAAAAATTAGCCAGGCATGTGTAGTCCCATCTACCTGGGAGGCTGAGGATCACTTGAGCCCAGGAGTTTGAGGTTGCTGTGAGCTAGGATGATGCCAAGGCACTCTAGCCCAGGCAAAAGAGTGAGACTCTGTCTCAAAAAAAAATAAAAATAAAAAATAAACCTCTAAGTTTTGCATCTCAGCACTTAGATTTTCATCCCATTCTCTATTCCTGTTTACAAGGTCTTCTTTTTCAAGCAGCTGATATTTAGCATTCAGGTCTTCTGCTTGTTTAGACAACCTAATATTTTCCTCAAGAGACTGCTGAAGGCTTAAAATTTCATGATTCAGATTTTCTTCTAACTGGGCAATATCTGGCTTGTATTTTTCTACTTGATCTGATGCACAACTGATTTCTTCAATGTGTTCTAAGAGTTTTTCTGTTTCAGATTTTTCATCAATCTTGTCTTTCTCCATTGAAACAAGTTTCCTCTCAAGTTGGGCTATTTGCCCTTGAGACTCTTAGAGATTCTTCTGGGTGACCTGCGGCTTCATCTCCATGCCTTCCTGTTTATCTATGATACTCCTCATCTTTGTTTCTCTTTTGTTTCTAAGTTTCATCAACTCCAGGCTTAGAATTCTCAAATTCTTCTGGTTACCATTTCAAAAAACTTAGATTTTAGTAGTTCATTAATCCTCGTCAATTAAATAAGCTGTTTTTCCAGTGAACCATTATTTGCAGAGTGATGTTTTTTCCCTGACTGCAGCATTTGGCTTTGCTTCCATCTTCCAACTCAGTTTCCAGGTCCTGGATCCTCTTGTCCTGATCAGCACATTCCTGCACAAGAACATGAATCTTTTTTTCTAATATCTTCCAATCTTTATCATTCTTTTGAAATTCCTTCCATTTAACAGCCTTTAATTCCAAAGTCTTGACTTGCCTAGCTAAAGCAGGCAAGGTAGCATCTTTGTCAAGATTAGGATTTTGTTGAGATTCTGTTTTTTAAATCTTTGTGATATCTGAAAGGAAACTGGTCCTTTCAATACTCCTGACGTTTTAACATCGTAACCACCTGTAGATGGTGCACAACCAGAAGGGTGGTTGAATCATTTCAGGGACGCTTTAGGAAAGGACATGCTGACGACCAGCTCCAGAAACTGAAAGTCACTACCACTCCTCGACAATGCCTGCAGAATCTAGTGGTTTGGTTTTTAAAAATAAATAAGGTTTAACTTTCCCCTTACTATTGTGTTTTCTTATATCTGGGCAGCAAATATATAACTTTCTCAGTATGCTTCTCCTTGTAATGTGTGAAATAAGAAATTTAAGGTGTCCAGAAGAGTGGAAATTAGTTATTTGTTACAGTTTAGGTGTCAGAACTGATTCATTGTAAATTGGGAAAACTGTGAGGGAAGGGTAGGGCGTTATGACTTGAATTTTGTTAATGTAAAAAATGAACTGTGAGTATGACAAGAGAAATTCAGTATCGATATCAGGACTCTAGTTTCCACTAGACACTAACAGCAAGTGGTGGGAAAGGTAGTCTGCTATGACCCCTCTAGATAAAATTCAGTGTCTAGGATTTTGAGTACCAAAAGAGTACAAACTATTATATATGATGGGTTGGACTTTACTATCATTGGTATCTAAATATAGCCGTTCCTGAGCAATAGGAATGAACTGAATTTTGGTGAACCATCCCCTACTTAAAATCAACAAGGCCTTCTCTTTTGGTCTACTCTCCTGTAATTCCTGGATTCTCCTATTTTGGGGTAAGGTAAAAAATGGGAATGAGTGGGGGCCACTTTTTACACTCATGCTTGATGTGGAAAATCAATACCTCATACTAGAGATCGTTTGTGTGCTGCACCTCACGTTTACATATGGGAGAACGGCACATTAGTGGGGTTCTGGAGGCAGCGTTCCGACCATTCAAGGACCTTGATTCGGAAACAGACTGAAATCCTTGGAGGCAGGCCCAGTCACCTTATTCTCTTCTGGGGCAGAGACCGCTAATTTACACGTTACTGGAACCCTAGGCTTATGCTGCGGGAATACATGCCAAAGAAATACGAGGGGCCCACTCCTCCAGACCTCATTTTCATTCGGCATATATGAAGAAAACAAAAGATGCGACCCACTCGGGACTGGCCGGGTTTGTTCCACAAGCTAGGGGCGGGACCGTTATCTCAATTTTACACAAAGGAAACGGAATTGGGGAAGGTGCCTAGAGCCCCAGCTCCGTCCTGGCCAATCCCTGACGGCACAGCCAGAAACTCCGCGTGCCAGACGCGCTCGGACTTCCCCAAGTATCGCGAGGTGAAATGTGAACAGTGCCGACAAGCAATTGGCTGAGGGGATGAGTGACGTCAGACGCGAGGCGCCGGGCCTACCGCGGGAGCGTCCGGAAGGCAGCGATTTCCGTTTCTGGTCGTCTCTGATTCCGCGGAGTAGCTACCATGAGCAAAGCTCACCCTCCCGAGTTGAAAAAGTAAGTATGTGTGAGGGCCGCACCGAAGTTTTCCCGTCCCTTAGGTCGCCCTCCGTTTCCCGCCAGTACGCCCGGCGCGCCTGGGCCGAATGGCCTGAGTCCCTTCACCTAATCTCTTACTCCGGTCCGAGGCCGCCGGGATCTCGGCCAGGGTCTCGCGCTTCGGCACGTGAAGGCCAGGCAGACCCCGCGCGTCGGCTTGGTCACCCGCGGCAGCCGTGGCTCCTCCATTTGGCGACTTGCCTCCCAGTCCCGAGGTCCCGACCTCTCGTCTTACCCGCGCTCTCCCTCGCTACTGGAAGATGTCGAATGCCACCCTTTGTTGAACATCGTGAATGGCATCTTGTACTACTTACGGTGGCTAGAGGGGTAATTCTGTAAGCAAAGCGGGGGCTGGATGCAAGTATTTTATAGTATAAGAGGAAATCAGGATCAAAAAACCACTTTAACCTTAGAGAATGTCTTCTTGTAATTAAACCTGAATGTCGCGTGACATTAGAACTCTGACATTAGAACTGTGTTAAGAACATACATTTTTGTAATCAGAGAAGACTCGTCGTGTTTTGGAATTTTTTCCTACACCCGGTAAGTCAAACTTTAAGTAGAAGATCCTTTTTTTTTTTTTTTTGAGACAGACTCTCGCTCAGTTCCCACGGGTACAGTGCAGTGGCGCCATCGTACCTCACTGCAACCTCCAAACCCTGGGCTCAAGCGATCCTCCTGCCTCAGCCTCCCCGGTAGCTGGGACTACAGGCTACCGCACCTGGCTGATTTTTCTATTTTTAGTGGAGATAGTCTCTACTCAAACCTTCTTGCTTGTTGTGTGTCTTTGAACAACTTATTTAACCTTTTTAAGCCTAGTTCCTCATCTATAAAATGGTGGTAATAGTAGTACGTAATTGAAAAGTTGTAAGGATTTAATAAGATTTTGTATATTTTCTATGCTTTATATAATATATCCTATTAAAATACATGGTGTTATTTATCATACTCCATAAATGTATTTTCCTTTGTAAGTGTATCTGTTCCCATCTTCATTCAGGACCCCGGGTTTTATTTATCTTTGAATCATCCTATGATACCTTATACAAAAAAATTGAATGAAATTTCATATTTTCTAGCCTATAACTGGAAGAGGTAAAAACTCCTTTGCATGGCTTTAGTGTTCTCATAGTATGCTACTAAAGTGGAATTTTCTTGTTTAATTCAAATTGTTTAAAGTTTCAAAACTATGCCTTTGTTTTACTAAAATATACTTATGGGTTGAGAACTATTCTGAACATACAAACTTGATGCTTTAATATTAAGTAAAACATTACTTATTCTAAATATAAAGTAAAATACCTATCGAATTGGATATGGTTTGATTACTATTTGCGGTCTTTACAACTTAGTTTATTTAGTTTTGGAAATAACCAAAAGGTAACCAAATCTTTGTTTTTCTATTATAATTAGAAAATCCAGTCATTGAAGGATCGATGAAATAACAATATTGAACAATAAGAATGTTTTCGTAATTCACATTACTATACATACTCAATGGAGATTAGTCTAAATGCTTTTCATTTTTATTTTAATTTTTCCCCTTCCCAATTTACATTCCTTTATAGAATATCTTATTTAGGTAACCCATTACTCCTTCACCCTTTACAGCAATACAAGGTTTTTACTGTTTTAAATTTCATTGTTCCTATTGTATCAATTTTGGCAAATTATTTTAAATGTACCTACTTCCGTTCTTGTTTATGCTTAAAATTTTAAAATCAGTTACATAATCTTTACCCTTTTGCTTTTTCAGATTTATGGACAAGAAGTTATCATGTGAGTTTGTTTTGTTTTTTTAATTATTCAGTTGCTTCTTACATGTGTCTTGGCAGTGTATGTTTGGAGCAACTTTATAAAAATTTAGAGCACACAGAATCTCTAATTCATACCCACTAAGTAAGTAGATTTATTAAATTCCTAACTAGATAATTTTATTTACCTAATTTCTGATATTTAATATTCAGACTTTCAGTAATTTCCTATAAGTCCTCCCTTACTTTGACAAAATTAACAGGATTTTTCTGTGTTGTGGTATTTGAAAATTCATCAACTTTTTTTCCTTTAAACAAGCTACAAAGGACTTTGACAAGGAACAGTTAATCTGTTTCTTGGAAGTGTGTAGGAAAAGCAGGTTTGTTCAACCTAACTAAAAATCTGACCCATACAGTATTCGAAGTATATCCATGGGTCAAAACCATGGACTTTAGAGATAAGCAACCTTCAGTTTGAATCTCACCGCTACCATACAGTAGCTATATAATCTTGAACCCTGTTATATAAAAGCTCTAAATTTCAGTTCCCTCTTGTAAAGTAAGGTTAATACTACTTTATGGAATACTTTAAAATGTGAATGTAAATATAAAACAGATGTAACCCAGTGCTTGGCATATAGTAAGGATAGTGGGTCAAACATCTCAAATAACTGTTTTATCCTACCTAATTATAAATGAACAGTTGATGGTTAATGGGTAGTTTTACTAAAACTTCTTTTTCTCTTTTTTAATAGTGAAATTAAATGGTGGCAGACATGTCCAAGGAATATTACGGGGATTTGATCCCTTTATGAATCTTGTGATAGATGAATGTGTGGAGATGGCAACTAGTGGGCAACAGAACAATATCGGAATGGTGGTAAGTAAAGATATAAGATTTCTCTTAGACAATTCATTTTTCTTTTGGAGTGTATATTAACTTTCCTTATATCAAACTCTTGGATTAAATTAGAGTTGGTAACCCCTCAGAAAAAGCAAATCACAGGCAGATTAGACTTTCTATTTCCTTTTTATTAATAGTTTAATATATGGCAGTCATTTAGCTATGATAATATCCAGTTACCTGTAGGTAAGATCCCAACTATACAGAACCTTCTAAGGTCCTAGGGCTTGAAATAGCTGTTGGAAATAATTTTTGAGCTTTATAATAGAGACCCATAGTCAGTTTTACAGCAGTAGTTCTCAAACTTTAACATACGTATCAGCCCCAGGGAATCTTATTAAAAATGCAGATTCTGATTCAGTAGCTGTGAGTTGGAGCTTCAGATTTTATATTCCTATCAACTGCCTAGGTGATGCAGATCTGCCAGTCCACAAATCACACTTTTTGATTTTACTTGTATACATAGTTAAGCTGGGTTTTCGGATTTATCACACCCTAAACTTTAACCAAGGTAAAAGTTACAAGGGATAATCACAATGATAGCCATTGACATGAGAGAAAACAGGGAAAACCAGAAAAAACAAATACTGAGTTTTCATTATAGGAGCACTTTCCTACATCCATTAGGCCATAGTATGATGACTAAAAAGGGTTTTGATATTTGTCAATAAGACCCAGATTTTGAATCCCTGTTTGTCTAATATAGGACAGTGTACCTAATAAGTGGTAAGCACAAATTTCTTGAAAAAGATGAACCTAAAGGACAACCTAGCTTTAGCAAATCATTGAGAATAACAACCTCCAAGAGGTGGTAAGAGTTCCTTATTGTTAGCCTTGATTTTTTTTTCTGTCTCAACTTTTTTTTTTTTTTTTTTTTTTTTTTTGAGACAGAGTCTCACTGTGTTGTCTGGGCTAGAGTGCCATGGCATCAGCCTAGCTCACAGCAACCTCAAACTCCTGGGCTCAAGCAATCCTACTGTCTCAGCCTCCCGAGTAGCTGGGACCACAGGCACGCGCCACCATGCCCAGCTAATTTTTTCTACATATATTTTTAGCTGTCCAATTAATTTCTTTCCATTTTTTGGTAGAGATGGGGTCTCGCTCTTGCTCAGGCTGGTCTCGAACTCCTGAGCTCACAACGATCCGCCCGCCTCAGCCTCCCAGAGTGCTAGGATTACAGGCGTGAGCCACCGTGCCCGGCCTCAACTTTTTTTTTAAAATTTGAACAGTAGAGAGTTGAAGATAGACCTATTTTTAACATCTTTGCCTATGTAATTTTTTAAAAATCACTCTTCCCAGGGTTTGTCATTACTTATTTCAAATGTTTTTCTATTGCTGCATTTTGAAAAGTAGTCATGACTGAAAAAACAGTTTAGAGTCTCTACATGTCACACCCAACCCCCAAGTTGCATTCACTGCCTTTCACTTGCATTCCCCTATGAGCTTCTGTTGAATAAAACTCTGACAGAATTATTGGCAGCCAGATTCTTATAAAAACGGTTTCTAAATACCTCAAGATTTTCCTCTGACCATTCTTTTTTTATTATTATTATTTTTTTTAACCATTCTTTTTATAAATTGGGAATTCTTCTTTCTAATAGAGGGTAGATTGGGTTTTTCATTCATCTCAACATATTTGCTGAAAAGGATTCAAAAAGGCCTTGGCATATTAAACGTCAATTCTTATTTGAAAAGATAATATTTTTATAGAATTGTGTGACACACTGCTTATTGGAATTTTGTCAGAAAAGGAATTGACCTTGGATCATGGATCCTTCTGGCAATTTTGCCCCTAAACTGATCAGCAGACAGTAATTCTTGCAGCTGAGTCTTTACTTTGAAAATGAAGTAATGATAATACATCATGGTCTTTCATAAAAAGACATTTTAAGGAAACTGCAAAAACAGAAATGGACTTTGGACTTTTTTGAAGCTGGAAGAAGGGAAACAAACAGGTTAAGTTTATGTTCATTTTGTTTTATCAGAAATTGTTTGGCAAAGGAGATAGTTGGTTTCGTTAATACCTTGTCCAAGTCAATTACCCGTTGAGGCCATGATAATTTCTTAATGGTACTGTATTAAGAATGTGTGTTTTGAGGGGGAGTTAATTTGTTTGTAGCATCTGTCAGTTGGCTAGTTACCTAATGATAAATCTCAACTCTCTTCTTTCTGAGACATCCCAGAGTTGTCAGTGGCATCACTTCTGTACTCTTTAAGATTTCGCTCCACCCCAGTTACCTCTAAGAATGTAGTAAAAATTCTGTATCTTATTCTACATAGTTTAGTAGCTCTTGCTAGAGTTGTGCTTCTGTCACTCTATTTTAGGTTCATTTTCTTACTAGATAGCTGTGCCCTTTCAAGAGGCTGAAAGCCTGAGCAGCACTTTGGAAAAATTAGCAGTTCAGCACAACAAAAGAAGCCATATGTAATCCTGGACCTCACGATTCCAGTTTGATTTGGATATTCGGCCTCAAACATAGTGGCAAAAGAGGAAGAACAATAATAGTTCTCCTTGTCCTCAGAGTAGAAGCCTGAAACTTCAGATGGTAGCAAACCCTATATACATTGTGCATGAATTTTTTTTCCTTCTTCACAATTCCATGGTAGAAGATTGGTTCTTACCGTACATCTTTGCAACCTTGATGTGTGATTTTTTTTCTTTCCTTTTCACATTGAGAGCTTTCACCTTTTCACTTACAGGAAGCACTTTATTACTTCCCTTTGGCATATCTGTATTGCCAGCATCATTACTCTTGGGCTTTGGGCCCATTATTAAGTAAAATAAAAGTTACTCGAACACAAGCACTGTGATACCACAACAGTCAAATCTGATAACTGAGATAGCTAAGTGACTAATGGAAAGTGTGCAAACACTGGACAAAGGGAGGATTCGAGTCCCTAGCAGGACATCATAAAGTTTCATCACGCTACTCAGAAGGCATGCAGTTTAAAACTCAGGAATTGTTTATTTCTGGAATTTTCCATGTATTCAGACAACAGATAAGGGGAAGAACTACTATACGAGGCAAAGGTATTCACCAACTAGCCTTATTTTCTAAATACTATGTGACAAGACAAGTATGTAATGCCATTTGAAAAAATGTTCGTGAAAGTTCCAGAATTTTTGTTTCCTAATGATGTTAAAAAGAAACGGCCGTCACACAGAGAGAACACTATGTCACAGTAGAGGCAGAGATTGGAGGAAAAAAAAAAAAAAGAAACAGCCATCAGATTGGAAAATCTTAGTTATCCAGTTATCTAAAACAACTTCTCTCCTCCACCGCCCATTCCTAGGGAAATTTTCAGTCACAAACAAATGTAGGAGGGAGCTAGGAAGGAATGCTAGTTTTTATGCCTTGATCAATGGGATGTGATGTTCATCATCTGGTACAAAAGAAAAAAAACAGGCAAGTGTTTAAAATTCTGAGAACTAAATAAGCATGTTGTTTAGCTTTCTACATTTTTATTCCTAACTTATAAGGAGAATACAGAACTGTAGACTCTTTCAGTGACCATTGTCATTTTTAGGGCATTGTTCTGTATCTGTTTTCTTATTTATAATAGAGGGGGTCTTGCTCTGTTGCCCAGGCTGGAATGCAGTGGCACCATCATAGCTCCCTGTAACCTCAAACTCCTAGGCCCAAGCAATCCTCCTGCCTCAGCTTCTAAAGTAACTGGGACTGCATGCCCACACCACTGTGCCTGGCCAAGTTCTTCTCTGTTAAAACTGCTCTTTAATTCTTTGGCACCTTGTCACCATACTTGCTGATATTTTCTGCCAGGCTCTAAGACACTCTTCCTACCAGTCCTTTTCTCTTCTGTCAACTGCAGTAGTTACATGCAAATTCATTTGTTTATTTAACAGGTACAGGAGACCTCTGTGCGCCTGCTGCTGTTTTAGGCACTGGGGATTTTGCACCAAAGTCCCTGCCGTCAAAAATCTACAATTGCATGGTTGGGACAATAAATCATAATGTGTATATAAATAAAATAAGAATAATGAAGGGGAAAAAAACAAGTTATAAGTAGTTTTGCTCTGTCACCTGAGCTAGAATGCCCTCCTGCCTCAACCTCCCAGAGTGCTGCCATGATAGGCATGAGCCACTGTGCCTAGCCTGAATATTATTCATAATGCCTCCATTTCTAATAAACACCTCAAATTATAATACATTTCCTGTCATTTCCTCCACCCCATCTCCCCCACCCCACTCACCTATCCAATGCTACTTGACCAGTTGCTACAGGTTATTGTAATCTACAGTCCATCGGGAACTTCTTGTTTTCACTCCCCTGGCCAGTTTCACTTCTTTCTACCCTTCTTGAATTCATTTACCAGCTGTTTCAGCTATGCTTTCATTCTTGCTTATCTTCATTTATGGCATGTCTACTAGGTCAGGCAGGCACTGTTCTCCTAGGGCCCTTTGTGTGTAACTTCTTTTCCTGCCTTGCCTGTTCAAGCTTTATATATATTGTTGCCAGAAGAGTTATAATTGTCATTCCCCCAGCTTTAACTTTCATTGGCTCATTGTGGCTTTCATGGTGCCCTCCAAACACTTTAAGATTGGCACATAAGGGCTTCTAAGATTGATGCCACCGGCCGGGCACGGTGGCTCACGCCTGTAATCCTAGCACTCTGGGAGGCCGAGGCGGGCGGATTGTTTGAGCTCAGGAGTTCGAAACCAGCCTGAGCAAGAGCGAGACCCCATCTCTACTAAAAATAGAAAGAAATTAATCGAACAACTAAAAATATATAGAAAAAATTAGCCGGGCATGGTGGCACATGCCTGTAGTCCCAGCTACTCAGGAGACTGAGGCAAAAGGATTGCTTGAGCCCAGGAGTTTGAGGTTGCTGTGAGCTAGGATGACGCCACAACGCTCTAGCCTGGGCAACACAGAGAGACTCTGTCTCAAAAAAAAAAAAAAAAAAGATTGATGCCACCTATCTTTCTTTTCCTACTTCCTTTCACGTCCACTGAGTCAAATTAGATTGTTTTCTTATCCCCTTATACTTCATCTTAATTGTAGTCTGTCTAGAATTTCCTATTGTCAAAATTCTACTCAATTTCCAAGGCCCAGGTAAGATGTTATTTTTCATAAAGCCTTCCTTTACCAACTTCCATCTTGGTTTGTTCCCCAAATGATCTTACACCTCTAAACTGTACCTAACCTATTCTTCTGTACTTGTCTTTCCCATTAATTTTTGGATCCCTTAAGGATAGGGATGGACAGGTTCATTTCCGTTTTGCAGTTTAGAAAGTGAGACAAGTCAATGGAGACTTGGCATCTCATAAAGGTAATTGTCAGCCTTTGATCTGGAAAATGTGCCTCTTACAAAGGGCTTCATGGCTTCATGTCTAAAAAGACTTACTTTGTGACCCTCCAGCTTGGGAAAACCCTCACAAACTGACATTGTAATATTGAAAAACAGTTAATGATTTGGTGAAAATTCTTTAATCATTGATCTGTCTCTTAAATGGATCATTGTTTTCCAATTTACTTTTCTTTCTTAGGTAATACGAGGAAATAGTATCATCATGTTAGAAGCCTTGGAACGAGTATAAATAATGGCTGTTCAGCAGAGAAATCCATGTCCCCTCTCCAAAGGGCCTGTTTTACTATGATGTCAAAATCAGGTCATGTACATTTTCATATTAAACTTTTTGTTAAATAAACTTTTGTAATACTCAAAAATGCTATCTCAAATTTTGTGAATATAGAATATTTACTCTTATTTTAACTTCTTCTAACATGAATTGTAGATACTAATTACTCTCATGGTTTAAACTTATTTCAAAGGGTTTTATGCATTAAAATGGAACAATCTTATTAAATGTAAACTATGGCAAACATTCCTTTTCTCCATCTTTCAACACTGAACAGATAAAGAAGCTACAAACATCAGTGGGTTTCTTTTGAAATACTAACTATAATTTTGAAAATTTAAGAGTAGTAATTTTAATCTGACTTGCCCAAGAACATCTATATTCCAAATATAGTAAAACAGAAGTAAAACACAGGAAAGTAATGCTATAGTTATTTATTTTGAACATAATTATAAAGTGGGGGGAAATTTGAATACAAGAGTAGAAATAGGATTCCAGAGACAAATATTGCAGTGTATTGTGGTCTTTGTGAGTAGAGAAAGGGTAGTGAGAGTGGTGTCCACAATATATTCATCTAGTTCATAAATTTTATGCCCCACAAGCTCAAATAAGAGATGTATTATAGATAGTTGTGTTATACCTAACCTTAAGAAACCTTACCAAGTATTTTAAGTCCTGTTCTTTTTGTGATCTGGCAAAAAGCTTACAAATCTTGAAAAACTTTAAAACTGTACAGAATGGAATATATACATATGTGAGGTTCTTGTGAAACACAGAACATAGTAAATGGCTATTATATGTATTTCTCTCTCTGAAGTGGTATTTCCTATTTATAGAAAATGTTTACAACAAAAGAACAGCTAAAGGGATCAAACTAACTTAATCACAATAAGGAAAGTTGATGTGAAGTCCAATACATTTCTATTCTTCCATTCTTCAGCAACTCTTTGCAAATCATCATTGACATTGATTTTTTGCAACAACATAGAGCTGAATTATAGAACTAGTTCTCCAAATGTGATTCCTAGAACAGTAGTTTTACCTGGGAACTTAAAAAAAATGTAAATTTTTTTATCCTACTACAAACCTATTGAATAAACAAATTGTGAGGGTGAGGCCCAGCAATGTTTTAACAAGCCTTCCAGGAAATCGTGATACATGCTCAATTCAGTTGGAGAACCACTGGAGTACAGCTGGCTTTCATTCAGCCACCACATCATTTTTACCAGTTTATTCTGTAAAGAGGAATGGAGTGGCAATCCCTGGTAGTAGTTTTTTCTTCAAATAAAATTGTTTCATACTGTAGTTGCATTAAAACTACCTAATATGCCTGATGTATTACTAATAACCTGTTTTGGTTTTGAGAAAGCAATTTCAGATGCCCTACTGGGAATTTTTTTTTTGGAGACAGAGTCTCACTATGTTGCCCCAGCTAGAGTGCAGTGGCATAACAGCTCACTGCACCTTCAAACTCCTGGGCTCAGGTGATCCTCCTGCCTCAGCCTCCGGAGTGACTGGGACTACAGTCACACGCCACCATGTCCAGCTAATTTTTCTATTTTTTTGTAGAGACGAGGTTTCACTCTTGCTCAGGCTGGTCTCAAACTCTTAACTTCCAGCCATCCACACCCCTCAGCCTCCCAGAGTGCTAGGATTACAGGCTTGAGCCACTGTGCCCAGCCCCTGGGAAAATTAACCAGAGGAGGTTTGATACAATACCAGCAACATTTTTATTTATTTATTTATTTATTTTTTGAGACAGAGTCTCACTGTGTTGCCCAGGCTAGAGTGCCGTGGT